TCCTCCACTTTCTCCTCTCCTCCGCTCCTCCCCTTCTTCCTTTCCGTTTCCTCTTCTCTCGCTCCGTTCTCCTCCGTCCTGCTCCTCTCCTTCTCCCACACGTTGTCTCCGCTGCTCCTTCCTCCCTCTCTCCCCTTCTCCTGTCTCCTTCTCTCTCACCTCTCCCTGACTCCTCTCCACCCTTGCTCTCTCTTTCCTCTCGATTCCTCCTCCGCCTGTCTTTCTCCTTTTTCCTCTGCCTCCGCTTTTGCCTTGTTCTTTTTCTCCGTTTCCTACTCGTTGTGTTTTCCAAAAGATTGCCACTATATCGTTATGATGAGCAACTTGGGCCGGCAGAAGAATTTTGGTGCATAATACCATTTGCATCATTTTCATATCCAGTTCTTTTTTCACGTTTTACATCTATTTTGTGAACTTCAGACAAGTGTATTTCGAAGGCACGTATAGGGTCATACACTTTAAGAGTCCGTTTGCAATTTTTCCAGTTGCATTTTACAGCGTTCTTTGTAATTATGAAGTATTTCGATAGCCAGTTACAACTAATTCTTTTTCGTAATGGGCTTAGTATATCTGCATGAGTCGACAAACGGCTGACTAAATGATTTATATTATAAGCATGACGAATATTTCCGCCACAATTGTTGCAATTTGCAGAATATCCGTCTCCTTTTGAGAAATATTGCCAAATTAAATTGGTCTCCTTTTTGCTTTTCCATTTTAAGTTATCTTCTTCATTCTTTATTTCATGATTAGAGACTAAATGTTCTTTCAACAAGTAATAATGTCGGGTGTAGAATCTATACACTCTGTGACATATCTGACACTCTGCATTATTACCTAATTTAGTAAAATGATCCCTCACCCAACGATTTTGCTCCATTTGCGTTGCCGTTATATTCGCACAGTATCACAGTGGGTATTGTAAGGTAATCGTGATCGAGAGTGGAGAGTGTCTTCTGGCGGGACTCGTACGGTATGAGCCTCGGGAACGAGAACGACCATACTGTCGCGCGATACTGTCTCGGTGCGAAGAGAAGTTTTTCCGCCAACGGCCGATGCCGCGATTCCCTTCGACCTAATTATTTTACAGAAAAAGATAATCAATTTCCAAAATTCTTATATTCTCATGATACTGGCCCGATATTACCAGAATGTACACGTCAATATTGTAGTGTCATACTTGAAAAATTTAAAATAGTGAACAAGAAGCCAAATAATTGCTGTGGTACTGCTACCGGAAGTATTATTCAAGTTGAAAATATAGCTTTTTGTGAACGTTCGCAGATTCCAATAATTATTGGGAGAGAATTTATTAATAAATGCAATTTTTTACACTGTACCTTGTGACAGTTCCCGTGTAGGAATATTTAAAGTTTCTAGTAAATTATCAAATCTTAAAAAGTGGCCATTATCAGAAATTACTGTAAAATATGTACAATTGCCATACAAAGATGGCTACGTTGTGTCATCAATTGTACACTGTGATATACTTTAAGTATAACTACAGTACATTAACTTTAAGAATGTTACTACCCTTAATCGGAAACGTTTACACGTTAACGGATTAACTTAATAAAATTTATAAGTTACGTTTGTAGTTGTTATTGTTAATTACTTTATTTCTGGATACTCCGCGGATTATTTTATTGGCTATAGAGCATTTATAAATAAACTTCAGAAGGTTTTAAATATAGGGTCTGCATGACTATCAACACGAGCGCATATTTTCTTTTCATTACGCTTTCTTTTTCTCTGGTATTTTATTTACAAAAATAGTATATCATTACTTTATGCAAAAAATATTACAGGTAACATAATTCACTTACATTTAGTATACCATAATTTTGCTGTTAGTTAGGTTACTAATGTTGAAAACAGTTGAAAAGCTAAGGAGAAACTAGAGTAAATTTCTAATATTAAAAATATTGATAATTAAATTATACTTTTATTTTAATATTTATTTGAAATGTAATTTAGTAAAATTATGTGAGATAAAGTAGTTTTAAAAACCTCCAAAAGTAGTGAAAAAATTGAATGAATCATTAAAATAAAGTATTAAACTGAGAAAAAAAATCGTTGTATGAACTAAATGTGTATAGTTGTTGGATCAAATGGTTAATTTAACAATTATTTAGTTGTACTAAAAAAAATATAGTTTATTCATATCAATCATAACAATTTTTTATTAAGAATTAACTAAACCA